ATCTATTATTGCTAGAGTAAATTCTTCTTAGTCAGGTCTTCCCTCCCATTGCTAAGCTGCTGCTGCTTATCAACCATTCTGACGGAAGCTAGTCTAGATACAGAATCATAGAATGGTCTAAGCTGGAAGGGACCTTAGAGATCATTTTAATCCAGCCTCCCTGCTGCCAGGGATGCCACCTCTCAACTAGATCAGGCAACACATGGGGCCCAAACGGGAATCGAACCCGCAACCTTAGCATTGCTAGCACTACGCTCAACTGACTGAGTTAACCGGCATATATTCCCAATCTGGTCTGTAGTTTATATTATATCTTCAGAAAAGTATTTATCAGGTACAGAAAAGAAACTACAGCAATATTTGCTAGTGTTGTAATGTTAATTACATTATGTATGGTTTCTGCAAACCTGCCTTTTGGTCCCTGAATGATACTATTTTGCTAACAGAACACTCCAGCTACAGATGTGATTATATAGGCAGAACTACCCTTCTAATGTAAAAATAATCCTCCCTGCAACTAGCGTTCCAATGGGAAGAGTCTTCCTGCCAATGTAAACAAATCTTTGCAAAGTGATTTCTGCTGTTCTTGCCACAGTGATGAAATTTGTCTTGAGCTGGTCTATTGGAGATGAAGTTCTCCACTGTGAGATAACCCAGGGCACTAACAGAGGTGTCTGTCTCCCTTCCTCAAGGATTTGCTTCCTTATTATGCCTTTCTGCAGTCCTTTAGCTGTTTCATGTTATACTGGAGAAGAACAGTGCTGTCCTTCCATAATCAAGCTAGTAGGACAGCAATTTGTACCACCTTATCTCCTGTCTTTGCTGCTTTACTACAATCTACACATTTTACACAGGTTTGATGGCGACTTATGGGCTGACTACATATTGCATTAGACAGGACTTTATAGAAACACCAACTCAGATTTATTTATTTTCTTCCCCTCACCAGCAGAAAAAAAGTGAAGCACACATGAAGTATTCTGCAGGTCATCAGTGCTGTCTGTCACTTTGCTGCCCCAAGTAATGACTCTTTGGGCTTCTTCCTTCTTTTTGGCCCCTAGGAAAAAATAAATTTACCAGTTTCCTTCATGGCTTACTCTGATGCAGCGTCACCACTTTTAAATTTAACTACCTAATGCTTGTTTGATGGCAAAACAGTGTCTCTCCACCTTTGAGGTCAGGTGAAGGCACCCTAAATTTTGGGCACGGCTGCTAGCTCATGGGCAACAGTGCTGAGATCCAGGTTGTTATTCCTATTTACTGGCACTGAGGAGAGCAGCTACTCATAGCAGCTTTCAAAATCATGGTGTGAAGCCTTGGGTCACTGAGGTGCACATGAGTCCTGCTAGGAGTTTACCCACAGAGGACAGGTGGCCAAGCAAAGGCTTGTGCACCTCCACCTTGAAACTCATCCCCACAGAGTTCTGTCAACCCCCAAGGCGATGCTGGCTGGCAGGTGTTACGCAGTTATTTGTGCAGTTATATGCTTTGGGGTTTGTGGCAGTGGTGAGGTGGCCGAGCCCTGAGAGGACCAGCCTCTTCCTGAGCCAAGAAGCCTCTGTGGCAGCCAAATTGTCAGCCTGGTGCCACCCTGTGTTTTCACGCTGCATCAATCAATTTCTTCCTAGAGCCTAACTGACATGTAGCACAGATTTCCTGTCCTGCAATAAATCTGCCACGAAAGCGTTGCTTATGTTTGTGAAAGGCTTTTAGTCTGTGGCTGAACTGGTGCCCTAACCAGGCCAAATGTTTTTAGGCCTTCTAACATCACACTGGTGAATTTCCTTATTAATTTGCAAGTTGTGTTCTGTTTAAAAACCTTAGCAAATTTTGGTGAAATCTATGTGGTAACCCAATCCCCTCCCTCAGTACCTACATAATAAGTGCAGTTCCAGCCCATTTCTACATAAAGGTCTTTTGCTGGACCTTTTAATTCTGTTGCACACATGAGATAATGGTGTGATTTATTATAAATAAAGATTGTAAGTGAAAAATTGTTCACCTTGATAACGCTTGAGAAATTAGGCACCTTTATGAAAAACAAACAAAAAACCCATGCCAAGGTGGTGACAGTGACTTGCCAGTTAAACAGAGGTGGTGGAGAAGTCAAGGCTGATGGCTAACACTCCCCAGCAAATGACCTTTCCTGCAATTCTCACCCTTTAGCTAAGAAAAATAAAATTAAAGCACAGTGATATGTATGTTTGCAAAGATGCAGCTGTCCTACCAAGGCTTGCACAGATCCAACATTATGCACAAAAGCAGCAGAGCTGCATAGCCCTGACTTCAGTGTCAGCTCCATGTGCCAAAAACTTGCAAGAATTAGTGATGCTCCTCCCACCAGAATATGTTATTTTTGTGGCTTCTAATTTGACTCTGGATATACAGCAGTATATCCAGATGCTGCTAAAAATATGGTCCTTCATGTTCTTCTGGCAGGTTAGAGTAGTAAAGAGTATTTATAAGGTGTGTTTTTTACCTTCTAGTTAAAATGTGCCACCCCTGAAATAAAAGAGGACAAGATTTTTTACCCTGACGCTTAGTTTAGGACAATGTTGAACTTCCATCAGGCTTTGTACAGCTTGGTGAAAGCTTTCCTAAAAATAGGAATCATCTGAGTATTCCTTGCATCACAGGGCTAATGGGTGGTTGAAAACCTGACATAAGAAATAAACTATAAATATGACATTTTTGTCACAGCCCCAGTGATTTTTGGCAAAACCTCCTGTTGCTTAGTAGCTAGATAGTTTGCATGTGTTTTACTCCTGCCCTTTCAAAATTACTTGACAAAGCTGCTTATCCTCCCTGTAGGGCAAACAGATCTCTTGACACAATTCAAACTTTTTACATTGGTGGAATATATACATATACCTCTTCCTACCCAGCTGCCAGTCCATGACTGCTGAGAAGAAATCAATCTATTCAGCTAAAACTTCCTGGTAAATTCAGATCAGTCATGCTTACAGGTAGCTGGCCACTGAATCACTGCAGGATGATCATGATACAGACAGAAATGGGTTCTTTGAAGCACTCTTTCTTAAAGCTTTTGAAGGTATAGTGTCTTTATGATTGATCTCTGAAGACCTGAGTAGTGGTTTCGATTTCAGGAGATTATTTTTCTTCCAACACTTCAGAGCCTCCTTTGAATCCTGTTGCGATCCATAGTTTGAAAAAAAAAGTACTTTAAAACCAATCCCTGGTAGGCAGCTTCCACCAGAAATTACTCTGTTTAAGAAATAACTTATTGATAATAGTTTATGAGTTTTTGCATTTCCTGAAGCTTTTCCTCTGAGCAAGTTAAAACATGTAGCTTCACAATAACTAATGCACAATTTAAGTTGTTATCTTCTAAACTGTATGTAAATATGTAGAATTCAGTAACCCAGAAGGATTTAATTTTTCTTTTATCGAGATAGGACTATTGTCTGCATGAAAGATTTGTGTTGCAAACAGAAGACGATTAGATTCCTGAGGGGCACGGTTAATTTGCTGTTGTATTCATTTGTAAAACAGAAAAAAAATTATTCAGTCTTGTACACCAAAAAGGACACAGGGCCTTCATAATGGGGCAAAAAATAATAAATCTTGCAGCTTGCTAATAATGTAGTTTGTGTGCTTAAACAAGGCAATGAGGATACTTTTGCATTCAGTGTCCCTGTAACATATTAATGAACTTGGACTATATTGATATAAAACAGTCTATATACTTCTGTAGTCAAGTTCTTAAAATTATACTGACAGACTGAAGTTCTAAGAAAACATTATACTGAACATCCCACTCTGCAGTATAAGGCAGGTGATATATAATTCACTGATTAATACACTGATATTAGCAGATAAAAGAATGTATTTGAGTTCAGGTTGTTCTGAGAATTACTGTGAGATTTCTGATATCTGTCATTTCTTCATCTCACCAGATGAAAATACTTAGTACAGTATCAGATGTTTTGATTTGTTGAAATGGCTTCCTGGGTTTTGCAATAAAGTATATTAAACTTTTTTTTTTTCATGCTGTTCAAGTTTATGATGTTCTCTATTTCTTTCGTGTGACCTCTTAGAGAAAAAACCCTAAAAAATAAATACATATTTAACTGTATAACCTGTTTTTGAGTCTTGGAAGGAAAGTTAGGAAGGCGATGACAACAGTTTGTAGAAGAAAAGGAAAATTCCCAGTCCCTTACTTCACATGCAAATCTCTTTGGTATACCAGGTATACCAATACCTCTCTCTTGGAGGTTGTGAAGGTGCCTTCTAAGATATGAGTGCCACGTCTCAGACTTCTTGGCCTGGGTTTGCCCTGGTGCAGAGCGTTCAAATATATGCTACGTAAGAAATACTAAGAAATTAGACCTTGGCCCAAATTTTCAAGCAAGGACTCTAATTCACAGCAACTGTTGACAGGTTTTTTTGAGATATTTGAGCCAGCTTCTCAAGAGTGACAGACTCAACAGCTAAGTAGGAGTGGTGAAGGAGACATGTGGGTGCTCTTTGGATGACTGGCGTCCCTATCTGGTCACCCAAAAAGTGAGATGCAACACATGGTTGTAAGTGAGGACAAAAAACATACCTAAGAGTAGGTATACTGACTGTAAGTACCTACAATCCTACTGCGTTTTTTTTTTCCCTTGAATTTTTGAGATCTGTATCCCAGCCATCTTATTCTGTAGCAGCTGATGTCTGAGTTATCCAAAAGCAGAAAACTGATCGCACACTAAATTTTTGGAGTGAAATACAAACATGAATGCTTTTCCTGCTGACTTCTGTGTGGGCAGAAATATGCCTTGTATATTAACTCGGCTTTCCTCTGAGCGTTTTACTGTTTCTCTCTTCTGCCATTTTAAGTAATAACTTGTTCCAGCTTTAAATGACCATAGAGAAGATTTTTAATAGCAAATTTAAAGGTTGACTGAGACTTGGAATTTTAACTCTATGCCTTTCCATTACTTCAGCCTTGCTATTATATACAGCATAGTGTGTGTACAGAGTAAAATGCAACCTACCTAATGTTGGGTCATACTCCCAGATGAACCGTTTGGTCAGGAAGCGTACGACGAGAGCTGGAAGCACAAAAAGATTCCAGGTGAGATGCACAAGTCATCAACTCATCTGGTTTTTAAAACTTTCCCAGAAAACTTTTCTGTGTGAATGGGCATGCAGTACATCCCCTGAATTGTGAGCAGAATTCAGTGTTGTTTAATGTGGCAGTCGAGATGTTTTCACTGTTTGTGGCCCACTTGATGCTTTTGGAAGGGGGAAACAAAATGAAAACAAAACCCACTCTTTACAGCATTAATCATTTACCCATGTAACAATGCAGGACAAAGAATAGCAGGAGGTTTTCAAAGGTAGACTCTAATTGTTTTGCACTTTTCTGATTTTTTCACAATAGCCTCTACCATTAAAAAGACAAAACAACCTCATTTACTGAACAGATGACCTTTGAAAAAAAACCCCACTGTTTTTGATGTTTTAGTTTTCCCATAACCAATAGAAAAAGGGTTGGCAGTTTTTTGAACCAGGACTTTTGCAAGCTTTCAAACTAGGGGTGTTCAAAAGAATTCTTGAAAATTTGCCCTTCAGATTTTAAACCTTCTAAGGTAAGCATGTAATTGCCTAAATAGCATCCTTGTGTATTTTGGCACGCCATCCTTGCAACAATTCTACTTTTTTTGCCTACCTATTGCTGGAAGCAATCAGCTATAATATTTTAAACCAATGGTCAACAAATGCTATTAATGAATTTGTGGAAGTACAAATAAAGCTTTTAATTCTGGAGCACTGGATAGCTAGTTACCAGTTTCAGTTTATTGGCTAAGATCTTGTTACTTACGTTTTCATATTTATTTATTTTCCCTATTTCTCCATCACCTTTAAAAACAACATATATAGGCTTTGTCAGGATATTGTCTATAGCCTATATATAGACTTTGTCAGGATCTGTGTCAGAATATTGATTACGTTCTAATTTAAAATTTCTAGTGGTGTAAATGAAGCATTCACCACTGCCAACTATCCAAAATCCTTTCTGCATTTCCCAAATGGAGCTATAGGTTTGATTGCAGTGATTTCAGTTATATGAAAAGCTTTCACTGTCGTCAGTGCTACACATTTTCTTTGTTCTTCTTTCAGTTGTAGGAGGACAGTAAAAGGTGACAGCTAAACCCAGTTCTGATTCTTTTCAAAATTAAGGGCATGAGAATGCCCCACATCCCAGATCTCTGTGCCTAAGAGTGGGACATGGTAACAGTCTGAAGAATAAATATAATTAAATAAGCTTTGCTTAATCAGAACCTATTTTTTTAAATATAATCAGAACATTAATTTTGAGGATGATTTAACTATGCCTCACACTTAGGGGGGTAATAAGAAACTAATCCAAAGGAAATGAAATCACCACACAAGAAGCAATTTTAAATCAGTGTTATTTTAAGTTTCTATTTTCCTTAGGAAATCCTACTTTTTATTTTTTTTTTAGCCTTTGCAGAAATGCTGTCCTTGGCTCTCAGAGTGAATGTGGCCATTCGCAGCCAAAGTAACTTTTCAAGTCATAGTCCTAATGTGGATGTCATTATACTACAACAAGATCTGTGTGCAGCTTATTTTCCAGCCATGATGAAGTCTGCACCAGGGCTTTTTAATCCACGTTTTCTCTCAGGTGGAATAGTTTAAACATCTTGATATCTCAAAAGTTTGGTCATGACCCTTTTCTAATTACTAGTAATAGATTCTCTAATTGCTAGTAAAATACACAGTATGTTCTTTTTTATTTTCCTTTTTTTTTTTTTCTTTTCCTTTTTGCATTTTGACTGGGGAAATGATGCCAGGAAAGTTCTCCTTACATGCTTTCAGAAGACTCCTTACCATCTTTTTTAAGATTTTCAGATTTTAAAAAATGCTTTCTGCTTTCGCAGCCTTACTCTGAAGGAGAAGCAGTGCCTGAGCCTGTGCCCGGACCTGGCGTTGCTAATGAAGAGAGAGAAAAGGCAGAAGAGAGTGAGGAAACTTGTCCAGCTATTTTCATATTAAAACATGGTCTGCTTAATTAAGATAACCATGTACTTGTTGATGGAAAGTGCTGGAGAAGAGAGTCAAAGTGATGAAGGGAGCGGGAAGAAGTTCTGTTAAACATTAATGTCTGAGGTGGGTGATAGAGAGCAGCAGCTCTGAAAGAAAAGAGGAAGAAGAGATGATTTTGGAGGCAGCCCAAATGATGGAGGTGAGAAGGTGACAAGCAATAAGAAGGAAAGGTAGAACTAGACCTCTGCTGCTGAGATGAGCCTGGGAGAAGAGAGGCACAGCTAGGTACATGGTACGAAAGGGAGCAGTTGAGCACTACGGAGGTGAAGAATTAGAGATCACAGATGTGAGCTCAGGTAATGAGGGAAAAGAAAGTAGGTTGAGTTCATCTCTAGCATGGAGATGTATGCAGAAATAACAGATAATCACATGTGCAGGAGGGAGCTGAAAAAAGGAAAGGAAGAGTGGGAGGCATCAGGCCACTGGCAATTCTGCCTCGCTGGCAGTTCTCAGCAGGGAGCACAACATGCACAGGGAGTTGCTTGCTTGGGATTGCTGGTAATGAAGGATTTGAATAAGGCTGGCTCGGGCCTGGTGAAGGAAAGAAAATGCCACCTCAGTGCAACCCCAAGTGAGTGGGGAAGTGTCAGCTTCAGAGCCATGTGCCCTGTGCCAGTTTTGGGGGCATGAATTCTTGGGGCCGTGCAAAGCTGCTTTTCCTGTGGGGCTGGCTCTGCTCAGCCTCTCTGATTCTGGCCTGGCCAATTCCTCCAAAATATTCCTGCTCTCCTCCATGGCAATGGTCACAACTCATCTTACAGAGTTTTTCACTTTCCTGCATTTTTACAAGGCTGAGGATTAGCAGCTGCATCTCACAGATGGGGAATACGAGATGCTCTTGATCCAGCATCTGTCCTGTTTACAACTATTGCAAACTATATTGGATGGGAAATATCTTCACTTTTGCCTTGTTAGGGGTGCTTAGCAAGCACGCCCCGGCATCCAGCTGCATATTAAAATAATGTATATGACTTTGCTCTCTGATTTGACTGAATGTGGTCAATGAGAGGAGAGCTGGCTCATGTCACCTCCTTAGCAACTCTGCCCCTAGAGCAGGGGTATTACTGCGGAGCTGTTTTTCTTATGTTGAGCTTGCTTACTGCCAGGTTACATCATATTTTGGTAAAATAACTTTTGCCAGCAGAAGAATCCGAAGTGAGAACATCAGGAATTCACTACACTTAGAGCTGTAGTGCTGATTTCTGCCACTGGCATAAATGACGCTGCAGGCAAAGCAATTAAACTTCCTCATGTTCTCAGCAGTGCTGCAGGCAAAGAGTTGCGATGGGCATTACCTCTCGCCTTAGCAAAGGTCTGTGCACCCTGTTTGACCCATCAGCCTTATTTAGACACACTTAACTCTAAATACTAATAATGAGCCAAAAATAATACAACATGCTAAAAAAAAAATAATCCAAATGCTGGATTTTGATTTAAAAAATACTGAGGTTGAGAATGTCTAAAATGCATTAGTTTCTGATTAAATTAGATGACTAATTTCAATATTCATATTAAAATGACGATTTCTAGTGCTCATCCTCAAAGGAGATGAAATATTTTTTTTCAGGAATGATTCGGATTAATGTAGTAGGAGTGAATTTCATGGCTCTCCACTGAGGTTAGTCCAGGCTCTTCCTCAAACACTTACTGCCTGTGAAATACAAGAACTTGCAGGCTTAGAAGGAAAGAATCTCCAACAAACTGCAGCTTGGAT